ATTCTTCCAGTTGATTAGCTGTCGCATGTGGTAACTTGGTAGATAGCACATTATCATAAAACTTTCAGAGTCACGCTCAAAGCCAAAGCATACCATAGCTATTTCTTCTTCCTGAAGATGACTTGATACCAATAACTGCTCTTTAACTCTCTCATCTCTTTAAACTGCACATTTCACACAAGTCATAAAGTACCTTAAATAGGTAAATATCTTATTTTGTTTTATATTTTCACAGAGATGACCTAAGCACAGGGTTCTTTATGAAATCCTATGCTTGAATAAATTTGGACAGAATGCAGAATCATGAAGGAAATAGATTTGGGGGTTCACATTCATATCAAGGTCAAGTGCATTGAAAACAAAAAATAAATGAATATTTGTGTAATATAAAAGTCCCTTTATTATGCATATTCTCCATATTTTTTAAAATTTTACGTTAAGTTCTGGGATACATGTGCAGAACATGCATTTTGTTACATAGATAAACATGTGCCATGGCAATTTGCTACACTCATCAGCCCATCCTATAGGTTTTAAACCTCCCATGCATTAGGTGTTTATCCTAATGCTCTCCCTCCCCTTGTCCCCCGCACCCTGACAGGCCCTGGTGTGTAACGTTCCCCTCCCTGTTTCCATGTGTTCTCATTGTTCAACTACCACTTGTGAATGAGAACATGAGGTGTTTGGAATACTGTTCCTGTGTTAGTTTGCTGAGAATGATGGCTTCCAGCTTCATCCAAGTCCCTGCAAAGAACGTGAACTCATTCTTCCGTTATGGTTGCATAGTATTCCATGGTGTATGTGTGCCACATTTTCTTTACCCAGTCTATCATTGGTAGGCATTTGGGTTAGTTCCAAGTCTTTGCTATTGCAAATAGTACTGCAAAAAACAGACGTGTGCATGTATCTTTATTAGAGAATGATTTACAATCGTTTGGGTATATACCCAGTAATGAGATTGATGGGTCAAATGGTATTTCTGGTTCTAGATCCTTGAGGAATCACCGAATCACCCCACTGTCTTCCACAACTGTTGAACTAATTTACACTTTCACCAACAGTGTAAAAGCCTTCTAATTTTAATTTATCCACAGCCTCACCAGCATCTGTTGTTTCCTGTAAAAGTCCCATATATATGTATATATATATATTTTTTTGTTTATTTGTTTGTTTTTTTCTGAGATGGAGGTTTGTTCTGTCACCAGGGTGGAGTACAGTGGAGCGATCTTGGCTCACTGCAACCTCTGCCTCCCGGGTTCAAGCGATTCTCCTGCCTCAGCTCCTGGAATAGCTGGGATTACAAGTGCAGGCCACAATGCCCAGCTGATTTTTATATTTTTAGTAGAGACGGAGTTTCACCATATTGGCCAGGATAATTTTAATCTCCCGACCCCCACTAGCTTTGGCCTCCCAAAGTGCTGGCATTACAGGTTTGAGCCACCGCGCCCGACCCATAATCTTCTTTTAAGTAGCAGATTCTTTTTGACACAAGTTAGTATATGTTTCACATTCTTTGTAAGAATTTAAAGAGAGAACAATTCCCGTCCATTTGAAATTTTGGTTTCCTCATGTAATAACAAGGCAGATTTTCAGTTTCATAATAAATGGATTGTGGTTTGCTCACATTTTGAAATGCAGTAAAGAACAAAATGAAACAGAATGTTGAAGACAATTTAAATTACACACTTTATTTTTTAACATATTAGTAAAAAGTACAGAAAGGAGATTATAAACATTTGAAAAATAAGACTAATATAACTTTAAATCAAATCAATGATTTCTGAATCTGCTTTATTTTCTTCTGTAACATTGGTGAAGAAATGTAGACTCTTCTCCATGTAGCACAAAACAGAAATCCTTCATTTTAGTATGTTCACGTTTCTCAAAACATGATGCATATTTCAAAGAATGGATAGGGAATTGCTGCACTTTACATGTTTAGAAGCATATCCACATATGGAAATCACAGTGTACATAGGAATTTTTAATAAGTAATGACTTCTCATTCATACATAATAATTTTAGTTGTCATTTTTTGAAAGATTGTAGGACAATCAACAAGTTCTAAAGTTATTTTAGGCAAAAATGAATAGACTATACCTTTAATAAGAGATTGAATAGTGATAAAATAGAAAGCACGCTACGTTTATTTATTTTGGGAGTGAATCATGTAGACACAAATATAATTTATGGTCTTCTGCACACACACTGAGCACACAAGGCAAAGTAATATTTTCAAACTTATAATTTCATATTAAAAGGTATTTTTAATAAGGGAACAAGTAAGAAGGGAAGCGGAAATATAACCCCATATCAATAAAATTTAAAAGGCAAAAATCCTGTGAAATACAAAGCGTTGGAGGCCAATCTCTTTTCTGAATTATTGCTGAAAACAAACTGAAATAATATAAAGACAACTGAAATGGAACTCCTAAAGCTGCCTGGGCGAATGATAGAATTTTCTTGGGACACATTTACGTAAGAGCAGCAAGATAAAAAAGAGGAACGAGAAAGGCAAACTAGACAGGGTCATTGTTATGGAAAAGATCTCAGTAGTGAGGCCTTATTTCTATAAAAAAAGATAACTCATACTTATTCTTTATTAATACCAATGTGAGATCCAGGATAACAGATCCAAATTTCCTGCTCCATTGTGGATGAGGCAGCAGAGTGCAACCGCAGCTCACCTTCCAGGATTATAGAAAAGTCTGAGTTTCAGTTATCTTACTGTAAATATCAGGCTAATATAACTTTCATTGATATTTCAGTACAGTCTGGAAAATATGAATAAATATCTGAAGACACTTTTAAAAATTGTGGTGTTTCGTACTAATATCAAGTAATAAAATATTGTTGTTTGAGTTTTATCTTTTCAGGGAAAAAATTGAAAAAGAATGTCTTAAAGCTGTGGAAAGAAAGACCGATGATTGGTGTGACCACATAAGTTATCGTCCAAGATACTTTTGAAAATAACCACTAAACTCATTAAAATTGTATCCATTTCAAAAATCTATGTGTATTGACTGACAAATTGATTTTGTTAAATTGAATGAGCTATAAAATAACTACTAAAATACATTTTTACAAGTATATTGACTTTTTAAACATTTCTATCTCTAGTACTAATTTACTGATATTTTTCTGAAGAGTAAATGTTTAAAACAATTTCACACATATGTAACTTTTAATTTTCTTAATTTCAAATTTAATTAAAATATCATAAAATTCATCAGTTTTAAGTGTAGGGTTTGATCAATGTTAGTGCGTTTATAGTTGCTTAAACATCACTACAGTCGAATCCTAAAACTTTTCCATCACCTTGGGCTCTAGGTGATTTGTTTTTATTTTTGTATAATAAAAACATGTCTTGCAAAATGTAGCACAATTTATAGATGAATTCTGCCATTGTTTATCATTTAGATTATTTCCAGATTTGGCTTTTGTAAACATAGCTACTATAAAAATTCTTGTCCATTTCTTCGGGTGCACCTGAGGACACATCTCTGTTGTATATATACATAAGAATGGAATTTCTAGGTCACAGCACAATCATACATTTATCTTAAGGAGATCATTCCACACTGCTTAGCCCAGTGAGTTTTTCAATTTACATTTGTTTTTACAGTATATGGGACAATCTTATGCACTATATTTTTGGCCAAAGTTGGTACAGACAAATGTTAAGCTCTGAGACATCTTAATATGTGTATAGTAATATCTCATTGAGGCTTTTCCTAATAATTGATAAAGTTAAACAAGTTTATATATGTTTATTTTTCATCTGAATATCTTTACTGAAGTTTAAAAATCTATTTAAAAATTATGTTGTTTATCTTTTCTTCATTAATATGATAAAATTTTTATATATCTGGATATAATAACCTTCTTGGTTATACATGTTGCTCTTATACTCTGTGAATTTTCATTATACTAAATGTATAATGTAGAGAAATAAAAGTTTACAATTTAATATAATCCAATTTATACTTTTGCCTTTACAGTTTAAGCTCTGTATTCTTCGTAACAAGTACTTTTTAAACAGGAGGTATTTTAGATATCTTAGTGTTATCTAAATATAGTAAATATTAATATTATTAATATAAATATTATTTTACCTTGTGCTTTTAGACCTATCAATTTTTAGAAATTTATTCATGTGTGCTTGTGGATTAGGAGCTAGTTGTATTTTTTATTTTCCAGTTTAGGTGAATGGCTGACCTAGTCTGTTTACAGAATAGATTATATTTTCCCCACTACTCTACATTAACACCTTTGTAATAATTAAACTGTACTTATATACATGGCTTTGTTTTTATCCTCTCTATTCTGTTTAATCATCCTGTTCTTCCTAGAGTCAATACTTCACTATTTTAATTACAGTAAGTCTTGATATCTAATGGGAGATACTATTCATTACGTTGTTAGGTCTGTGTTGATATCAAAGCGTATAAGAACAATATAGTAATGTGCATGAAAATTACTTAAAATTTACAAACTAAACTTGACGTAGAAGAAATTCTCACATTTTGTTCTTCTTAAAGATTTTCTGGAATATTTTTAATTTTTTTTATGTCATTTATTTTTAAACCCATTTGTCTTTTTCAAAAAAAAAGTTTACATTTATGTTGAGATCACATTAAATTTAAATCTTTGTAGTATTATCTCTTAGAGTGGATGAACATATTATAGTTCTCCATTTGTTTTTCTTGAACTTCTCTAAATAATGTTCTATTATTTTTCTATGTAGACATCTCAGACATCTTTGGTTAAATATATATTTTTTTGCTATTGTAAATGGCATATTTTATTCAACTATATCCTCTAAATATCCATTGCCTACACAATTACTTTTGTACTCAGAATTCTTGCTTGAGGCCACTTATTACATTACATATTTTTTCTTGGTTTTTAATTTTTTTACGTAAATAATAAAGTTTTATATGTATCACAAATTAGAGTTATTCCTTTTACTTATTTACTTTTTTTAAATTGTATTTTAGGTTTTGAGGTCCATGTGCAGAACATGCAAGATAGTTGCATAGGTACACACGTGAGTTATTCCTTTTTAACTTTCATTATGGTTTATGCCTTTTTCATGACTCATTTTATTCTCAAGAACTGCTTTTGTAATACTGAATAGGTATTATGGTAACGAACATCCTCATCTCATTATATCACAAAAATATCTTTTGGAATTTCTCGCATAATTTTGATAGTTTTTATTGTTGTTATTTAGATGATTAAGAAATCCCCCCTTCTAGTTGTAGTGTGCGAAGAGTTTTGGGAATAAGTGGATATTTAATTTGGTTCAGAAATAATTTTCAAACAGTAAAAACAAATTCGCACTCTGAATGTGTTACATTTGAGTGTACTTCTAAATTTTCTGATAATTTGTGCTTTTACAACTATGTTCATGAGTGAGTTTGGCCTGTAATTTTCCTTTCTTATAACATCCTTCTCTGGTTTAAGTTTCAAAGTAATTCTGTCTTCATAAATTGAGTTATGGCTACTTTTATGGAAAAGTTACTGTGAATTTAGCATTATTTCCCCATTTAAAACTTGTATATTTCAGTAAGGCTTTTTGGGAGTTCACTCCAATTTCAAGTTCTGTTTAGCTCTCTGCTCTCAGAAGCCTCTACTGTAATTGTCAGAGAAATGCTTCTCCAAATCTGCAATGCCTTCTCTGATGTCTTGACAGAAATTATTCATTATTTTGTTAGTGCTACATTGAAATCACAGTATGTGAAAACAACATAATTATATATATATATATATAAATTATTTAAAGAATAAAAGTAGCTGACCTAGCAAATTAACTTCTACAAATTAATCCTAAGGAAACAATATAAAATTCTTAAATGTTTTAGATAAAATGATATTTAAAGGACATAAATTTGTACATAGACGATATTCATTCCAGCATTATTTAGTTATTTGTGGCAAATTATGTGTAAGTTCATTAACAAAAATTTGATTAAATAACTGTTATATCTTTCAATGATGTAATATGCATCTAACAAAATTTGATTATAACAAAATGATTATATATATGACTTTATATATATATTACATATATGATTTTATATATAATAGGTACTAATAATTATATATAAAATGATATTAAACATATTTAAATGGTGTATATATAAATGATTTTATATGTGTTATATACATGCATTTCCTTCCCATGGTAATATATTATTGCTTAAATTAACAAGGCAGGAATAAATTCGTATGTATATTATAAACAAATTTACTTTTTGAAAGATGTGGATGTTTGGATGCATTAAAATAGCAGTAAGAAGTAATTTGTGTTTTTGTACTTTTGCTTCTCTTGCTCTCAACTCTACTAAAAAGTTGCTGTTTCTAAACTCGAATTGGGCTATTAATGCATTGCCTGACTCTCTATCTGGATTTCTAAACAGTTTTTAGAAAATGTTATAGATATATTTGACAGTATTTATTGTTGGAGAAGATTATCAAATTTATGTCAAGATTGTGGAGGCTCTTATTACACATATTCAGATACAGGTAGATTTTCTCTCACTTCACCTTCATTTATTTTTTAATGGTTATGTTATGGTTTTAAAATATTTGTTCAGATTTGCTCTTATTAAAATTTACCACAGGCTATGTAAAACAATTCAAGGGTAATACGGAAGAAAAACGAAGTCCAAATGAATTATGATCTTATCCTGAGACAGAAACTTTGCACATTTACTAATTTTCTGTGTGTTTCTAATTTTAATATGAATGAGCATATTATGAAATGAGCATCACATTTTTTGTAAAGTTTATAATATTCACACTTTCAAAGTCACGACACTTCTGTAGTTATTTTTTGTTGATATTAGGTGTTTGTTATAAATACACCAAAGATTATGTTTTAATTGGGATGATTTCTTACAATGTTTTCCTTTAGGGAGTGGAGATTGTATGGGAATAAGATCATAATTCATTGTATAAATGACATTTAAAGATATGGAGAAATATACATGTAATGTATATGCATTGAGATACTAATACAAACTAGGGTTACTATTAGATGTGCATAAATATGTGTGTGTGTGTGTGTGTGTAAAAGTAAGAAAATAAAATAAACTTTTGCCAGAAAGGTAAAATTAGAAAGCTGTTTTAATAACATATTGCATATATTTTGTTAGTATCTCAATTAAGACAAATTTTTAGAATATAATAATATTTTTAAAAATCCTAGCTCTGAGTTATTAGCTTGAAAGGGGAGGTTGACAACCTTCTCCCACATATGAGATAACAGGACAGCTTGACACATTCTACTTGTAAATACTTTCATATGCTGTTTTGAAATGAACTTTAATTAGCAGACGTCATCAATAAGCATTAGATTTGTCATATGCTAATTGTGACAGAGTTTTAATATATCTCTTTATTATTTTAAGACCATATTATTCAGTATTAGGAAGGGTGCGTGTGTGTGTGTGTGTGTGCATGTGTGTGTGTGTACATTAGTGTTTTGAAATATAGACCAGCAACTTCTATAGCCCAGAATAGGGAAGACTGACTGTTCTTGACTCAGTCTCTTTTCCTAGATTTCCTTCTAGCATAGGTTCTTCTCAGTGCTTACCTGCTGGGATCCATTGTCATGTCTTTCAGATGCATGTATACTTGAGCACACTTTCTACACTTCCGGCCTGAAAAGAGAAAGTTTCTTTTCCCCCATCCCCACATTCCCTCCTTAAATCTTCAGACATCCCGAAGATCCTCTTTAAGCATCAGCATCAGCCCTCTCTGAAAATCGAAAATGAATCTACCACTGAGGCTATTTCTCCTTTCAAGACTCAAGACCTTCTTTATTTCTTTTAACTCCACTAGAGGAAGGACCGCAGTAAAATGTTCAGTGCCATTTGTGTCTGTACTTGGCAGTGACATTCAGTTCTCCTTATAAAATAAGAGAGTAGAAGTGACATCTTCACACACACATACCTTTTGCTAGATTTGTCAAACAGTTGATTTCAAACTGTCAATATGACATAGAATCAATTTTTGAGTGAAACTTTTTTATTATACAATAGAATTGAAAAACTAATATCAGAATGAACATCTATTAGTATTAATTTATAAGAAAAAATATTTTGGTTACTTACATCCCTAAACATTAGCTTGCATTTTATGACATATGACATTGTGATGTAAAATATATTTCTTAGTCTAGTCACAGTCATACAAGATCAAAAGCCATGATTTAAGGGCATTCTTTAGCACTGAGATGTCTAATATGGTAGCTATTTTATAATGTAAATGAATTAAAATTACATAAATTTAAAATCAGTTTCTTAACCAAAGCAGCCACATTTAATTGCTCCATAATTATTTGTGGCAACTTTATTGGACAACTGGGGTCCAGCTTTTTATCATTGCAGAAAGTTCTATTGGACAGTGCTGATGCAGAAACAATCTAATGCTATATTTATAACATTTTCTATATATGAAATCTGTACCTAACAAATAATGGCCGACAGTTAATAAAACTTGTGGTTTTTTTTTTTTTTTGCTACAATAAAGTTTTATGCAATGGTATTTAGCTGATTGTATTAGGTAGTTTGACTTATTCAAAAAATTCCTTTCCTTAACTTAAGTACAAGATCCAAAACCATGAGGCAAGAAAGAAGAATCCTTAGCAGCATGATCTCTGAAGCTCCACTTTTCTACCTGTGTGAACCTGGACATTTATCTGCCTCAATTCTACTACCTGTAAAATGAATGTGATGTGACTAGTTTTATCTATATCTTTGTACTTACATTTATAAAGTGGACTTTATATTACTAATTTATATTTATAAAATGCCTAGAAGACTAAAGGCTAAATTAAGTGATGAGTTCAGTTAATGCTTTGTGTGTAAACTTGTGTGTATCATATGGAAACAAATATATACTTGTGTGTGGTGTATGGGTATATGTATATGATTTTGTCAAGGATCTTGTGAAAATGCACAGAAGGCATAATGCAAAGTTGTGGTCATTAAAATTTTAATTTGGCTATTGACATTTAGGTTCTCCTTCCTGTGTTAGATAATTCTGGACACATATTTATATGTTATGAGCAAAAGATAACTGCTGAATATCTATGTTTAACACATTTTTTGTTTATAATATAATTTTAAATGATTTCTCACAAGGATAAGAACAAATGGAGAGCTTGGAAATTTAAAAAGTAAATATAGTTTTAAGATAAAAATTGATAACTATTTCCACTTCAAGAGAGAGAACGGCTTCACAGTGGATTCAAGTCCTAAGCTTTATGTTAGTCGAGTCAGGTTTCAAATTTCTCTTGCCTCAACTACCCACCATGCAACAAGGGTAAATTACATCAACTTTTAAATGTCACTTTTGCCATCTAGCAAATGAATAAGATAATATGTGTACCTTATAGAGTTGTTGTGATTGGAAATGAAGTAACAGCATATTCTCACTTTTAACATTGAGTACCCAAAGAAGGGAACGCTAGACAAAGGGGCCTACTTGAGGGTGGAGGAGGGAGGAGAGTGAGGATAAAAAAATACCTATCAGGTACTATTTTTATTATCTGGGTGGAAAAATAATCTGTACACCAAATCCCCGCAACGTGCAGTCTCTCCATGTAGCAAACCTTCACATGTACCCCTTCAACCTAAAATAAATGTTGGAGAGAACCAAAAAAGAAAATGAAGTAATGTATGTAAATTGCTGAGAGTCATGCTTAGCAGACAGTAAGTGTTCAACAAATGTAAGCCTTTATCATATTATTCATATGATAGTAACTGCTTCCCTTGCAGTTAATTAAACACCTGAAGAGTTTGATTTTCTGCTCATAACTGAATTGTAATTTTCCCTCTGTTTCTGATTAGCTGTGTGATACTGAAGAAATGCTTCAGTGTTTCTAGACCTTGGTTTTTACTGAAAAATAAAACAAGTGGATAGGGTACTCCTAATATCATTTCTGAGCTTGTGGTTTGGAAGCCTAAGAGAAACAAAATCAAAAGCATTAAAAGAAATGATGTGATGTGAGGGTCATGAAGACTATTGAATACATGTAAGTGTATTTGAGGTTGTGAATCAAAACCCAAGCTCTGTGTCAGTCAGCATAAGCCCAGCGAACAGTTTGTGTGATTTGACAAAGTGTACTAGATTTCAGCATTAGATTTTCTGTTTAGTTCAAACTTATTCTCTTAAGGATATCTG